GAAACAGATATTAAATATAATAAATATTAAATATATTATCATTCTAAAGAAAAAGAATTCATTCGAATAAATAATTTGAAATAAAATCATCAAATTCTTTAATATTGGCCACTTTGTAATGATCTCTCTCATCTTCACACTCTCTTAAAACAATTTTTAACGCATCATTTAATCGTGTCTAATTTTTATTTGCTGCGTGAATCTGAATGTTGTCAGCTTCAAATTGATTTCTCTCAGTTACAAGTTCCTCATTTCTACTTCTTAAATGTGTATTATCACGAATTAATTCATCTTTATTAGCATTTAAAGCGCATATTCTTTGTTCTAATTCATAAATTTTTATTTGTAACCTAGAATTTTCCACTATTATTATCTCTCCGCCCATAATTCTTGGTGGTTCTATTTTTATTAAAAGTTATTTATTTTCATGATCTTTATTTATTTTTATACCCTATTCTAAAAGAATTCAAAAATATAAATTAAGCAAAATTTTAAGGATCGTATTTCGTAAACGTCGCAGAGCTTTGCGCAAGATAGCATATGAGGATGATCTTCAAAGTTTCTAAGGAAAAAAAAAGAAAATAAATAAAACCTGCCTTCAACACGGAAGTTGAATTAATACAAAGGTAATAAATTACCGGGTGGGGTATAAGTTTTGTTTGAGACATTTACTATGATGATTCGAAACGAGACTGGGATCAAGCTGTATCATCAATTCAGAAATTTCGTATCAATGTAAGAACAAATCAAATATTATTTGAATTTAATTATCTAATCAGTAATAAACTGATTAGAATTTTTTTTTTAGTATTATTAATTTTTTTATAAATAAATAATTAAATGCGATTCGTATTGGCGACTGGGAGGTAAGGGGCCTAGTTAAAAACTCGTATCAAATAATGATTCTTAATTTTACTGTTTAATAAACAACCAACGTATAAGCACATGCAAGGCTAGCGGCACACCAAAAAAAAGCTCACAGCAAAGCGAAAAGTTTAGTTGTAATCTAATTAGTTTTAATTTTATTATTTTTATTTTATTAATAAAAAATTATAACTTATAAAAAACAATCAAAAATAAAAAAAAA